CGACGCACGAACTCCTCGATAAGAGACACGCACCTTCGGTTTACAACGCAAAGAGATACAAGCGAGGCTTGTATTGCGCCAGTACCGATCTCATGCCATATATGCTGCCGTTTTGGATGAGAGGTTTGCTATAAAATCCCATACATTCGTAATTCAAAATATACGTTTATTTAGATTACAATCATATGTATGATAACATTATATATAATTGTAAGTTACACTAACTGAACATCATTTCAACGTGACACCAATCCCAAAAGGATTTATGCGATATTGCAAATATTTATAAGCAGTTTTATTCCGGTCACTTATAAATGTGGAAAATTGATTTACAATCTTTTTTTTTAATTTCTTGGCCACGCTTTGAGTATTTATTTTAATTTCAATATTCTTAACAAAAAAAATGTTAGGAGCTCGTATATTAATCACGTGAATTTTATTCAAACAGTTTTGACCCGCCTTCCCTCTCGGTGATATTTAAAATTTACCCCCGCTCAATATTGCGTGTATTTCATGTGTATTTTTAATATCTACAAAACATCGGAATACTTTAGATTTTTTTTGAAAAATTTTGGATTTCATTTTAAAATTTACGTAAAAAGAAAATACACGTGATAACTTATTAAAACCCCTCTCCCTCTGTTATTTCATTATTTTATGGAACACCTCCGCTTCTTTTAAGTCAAGTGATTAAGTATAGTATAGTGAATAAGTAAGTGATTAAGAATAGAATTGCGGACGCTGACAAAAAATGGAAAAAAGTATGAGAAAAGTATGGATGATCGTAGCCATCTTGTTATACTTATTTATCTATGATCGTAGCAAGTGAATAAAAACCATGGGTGCTGAACTAAGAGTATAAATAGATCGCAAACACGGCCGTTTTGGTGATAAGTACAAATTTTGTTTACATTTCTATAGATTTCATACCAATGTTCATAAGTTAAACTGCTAGCGGCGCTTAAACGTCTCGATATTTCACTTCTAAAGCTAAAGCAGCGCTATTCTTTAAAAAAAAGTTTAACTCAAAATAAGATTTATGGATCGATTCTGCCGCATAACAGACCAATGTTATGGAAGGCTATGTTATGAAGAACTTTCCATACTAATAAGTTCTAAATATTGACAAAAACCATGTGGTTGCTATGCAGTCAGGCGTTTTTCTCAAGTTGTCAGATAGAAAACTTATCCTAGAAACCGCATTAATATAAAAAAAAGATCTTAAATAACACGGTCTTTCTGATCCATCTTCATAACATACAACTGACGTTGCAGTTTATGCGTAAAAATTTTATTCTCATTTCATTTATTCAAATTAATCACAATTTTTATCTAAATTTAAACCTCTGTGGATTGCTGGAACATTTAAAATTGAAGTAATGTCAAAGCGGACGTGTTTGCGATCTGTTTATACTTCTTTAATATCAATGGGATGATCGTAGCAAGCAGTAGCATGTGAATTAAATCATGATTAAATCATAACTTTTCCGAAGATGCAAACCGTGCATGCGTACTCTAAAACAACTGCGCGCAAGAATGTTAGATGCCGGTGTAATATTCGGAATTAAGTTGAATATATTAGTTAAATATATTTAAACCTCATGAATTAACCAGTATTGATTTTGCAAAGAAGAAACATTGCATTTAATGCCAGATAGTTTTGTGTTAATATTAACAATATTTCATTATACCTTGGTTTTTCGAAAACCATTATTTGTTAATGAAACTATTTCGTTTCTTCTTATTGTTAGTTTATATAAAATTATGGTAAAATATTACATATAACATTTTATTATCCTTCTTAACCCTTTCGCTACGTTAGTCGTCCCTGGACGACATCCCATAACGTGTCGTCTGTGGACGTCTCTGGACGACATATTGTATTTGCCTTTGCTTCAAGATGTATCGCTATGTGTCAAAGCAGTGGCGTCGAAACCAAATTTTTGATGGGTGGGCTCGTTTTTTTCTTTTATAGACAGCCAGTGGGGTCGTTTTTTTTTAGAGATATTAGCCCATATAATTTTTTGAAATTGATGGGTGGGCTGAGCCCCCCCATCAAAATTCATGGGTGGGCTCAAGCCCACACAGCCCACACGGTTCCGACGCCACTGTGTCAAAGTATTGATAAATCTAGTCTTTTATTGTATTTTTTAACTTTCTACAATTTTTCATTGATAAGGATAGGAATATCTTAATCCTTTCCTCTCGGGTGCAATTCGCGAAGGGAAGGGGTTAAAATAATATATCGTTGTGCGTAGTCCATTCAGTAGTACTAATAAGGGACACGCTGTTCCGTACAGCAGTGACACTCCTGCGGAAAGCACTCCTGTAGCGAAAGGGAACGTTAAATATCAAAGTTAAAATTCTTTAATAGACATACTAAAGTGGTTAATATTGAGTTTCTATTCTAAAAATAAGGATATATTTGTAATCATGTCTATCATCCTACTTGACACATGATTTCCAAAAATATACCAAATTGAATACATTATCGTAATAATATTTTAAAATTGTATCTATTTTTTCAGGATTAGATAAATCTGATATTTCATTGAATGAAAAAGCGCGCCTAAGCTTTTGCAAAGGTTTGTATGAAGATGCTCTTAGGCGTGCTGAATTGTCCAATGACGAATTATGTGCGAAAAAAATAATCGATTATGTATTGAATGATGTGAACAGAATTTTGAGCGCTAAAAGAAAATTTCCTGATTTTTCTATTAAACGAAAATGAGATAGTTAAATGTACATATTTTTATCATTAAGTGTTATACTCAACTGTGAATGGATTATATAATAAATTGAATAACTACATTAGGTATCAATTATTTAAATATATATTTTTATAAATACTTTATAATCTTAGAGTAAATTTACTAGTGGCCTCTCTGTATTACAATGAAAAAATCTTATTCCGATACCTGTCACATTTGCTAAAGCAACCGCATAGAAAAGTGTCAAAAAAGTAAAAATACAAAAAATTAAAAAAAAAAATAGTAAAATGAATTAAAAAGTAAATAAAAATCAATATAACAGTTTTTATACTACACACAAGATTAAACAATTATAAATTGAGTATGTATTTTTTGAATAACTCATTTTATTACATTCAATTATAAAATGAACAAACATAACCTATACATATATATGTATATATAAGAAGAGCTTTGAATCATGTTCATAAGCGTATATATATATATATATATATATATATATATATATATATTATATAATCACTTTTTAATTAATTTTTATCAAATTCTTTTATTTAATAAATATATTTCAATATTTTCTGATTACGCTCCTGGCAAACTGGTACGTACGCGGTGAATGTGAAGGGTTTGACTATATGAACTTAGTGGATTACTTGTTACCTCAATCGTTACCTATATTTATTCATCAATAAATTTACTATAATGTAATTAGCACTACATTTGAAACTATTTTTTTATTTAAAACAATTTGAATAATTACATAAATAATCAATAAGCTCATGTACATTTTTGTCACATAAAATGTTAAATCAATCCGCTTCCATTACATATATTATTTCATTATATACATGAACCAGTGCGTAATAATTTATTAAGATATTTAATATATTTATCTATTTTAATTTGTGCTTTTCTTCTCATATTTTATTTAGATTTATTTAATATCTAATAGTTTTATAATGGAAAATATTATCATTAAATTAAGAAAAAAATTCTACATTAATTTTGATCAATGCAAATCATTCGCCAGATTGAAACGGAAACTACCTGCAGACCTCATCTATTCTAGTTAAACTTAATTCTTTTCTTTGCTATATTTTATTCATTTTTTTATTTTTATTATGTTTGTTATTATATTTTAATTATATATGAAATATTTTTTCATATTTTGAAATTTTTTTCTGCGTTAGCTGCGTATAGACGAAATAACGAAGCGCGTAAGCGAAACCCAAAGAAATGCAAACAAAATTTATACTGATGGGCTGATTTTCCCGCACAACAGACCAATGTTATGGCAAGGCCATGTTACATTTTAACTTCAATACATTATGCTACTGAATCATACTGAATACTGGCAAAGTACCATGTATTTGCTGCGCATTCAGGCGTTTTACACATAACCTGCAACGTCATTTGTATGTTATGAAGCTGGGTCAGAAAAACCCTTTTATATAAGATCGTTTTTTTTTTTGACATTTGTGCGGTTTCTAGGTTAGGTTTTCTATCTGACAACACGAGAAAATCGCCCGACTGCTTAGCAACCACATGGTTTTTGTCAATATTTAGTACGGAAAGTTTTTCATAACTAGCCTTGCCATAACATTGGCATGTTGTGCGGGAGAATCGGTTCATTAATATTAAAATCTCCGAAAAATATCTTATAATGTGATGTGAATATGTCAAATGATTATTTTTGTCCGCCAAATGACGTTTTTTTACTTTTTTCATTAAACCTCCGAAACCGCTAGACCTGTCTCACCAAAAATTTAATTGAATGAAATATTTTTTTTAATTAGTTAAATATAACTCTATATTATCTCAAAAACTGAATTATCATTTTTGTCAATCTTTCCCCATATCTTCGAAACGGCTGGACCTGCCTTTCTCAAATAATGATATATAAAAAATGATTACTAAAACTATGGAAAGTGAAGTTTTTTTTCAAAATTGATAAATAACTTGTTTTAAAACGAAGGAATATTCCATAGTGAGTAATATGTTTAATGATTGCTGTTCTGAACCGATTGCAGTGACTAATCCAATATAATGATTGTACTGTTGCAATTTAATCACATTTTTATAATAAACAATAAACAAATTAACAAATTACATACAGCAATTACGAGCTGGATTTCTTATCTTTAGTAAACATTATATTGGCAATAAGAAAAATCGTTCGCTGCATACGACTTAACTGAACGTGCATATGTTTTTCAAATATCCCTTCTTCGGTGACGCACATAGTCCTCGACCGTTCTCGGCTCGGCAATCTGTTGGCTGTTGCGTTGCCGCCATGTTTACGCAGACCGCAGTCAGTCTTGTGTCGCAATACAGTGAAGTTGTTTGAATTCTTGTGTGTAGAATAAAAAACATATTTGAAACGTTCATATAATAAAAAGTGCAACATGTCAGATGAAATGCAAGAAAACGGAACTATTAATGGTGAAGTGCCAGAAATTGAACTTATCATTAAGGTAAGCCTTCGGTTTAATTAGAAATAAATTTACGGGGCGTTACCTATTCTTCTAACTAACCTTTGTATCGTAACTCTCTCGAAGCATTGGATTTGCTCCACAACAAAAACTAATCCAATTAGAATCGATTTGAATTATTTCAATTATTTGTTTGTCGAATGAATTATTCGGATTTTATTAACAGAGCACTTGAATTACATATGTGCCATGCAACAGAGTGTCATAAACGTTTCAGCGAATTTTAAATGCATATAGATACATGTTGTTATAAAATGTCTTGCAAAAAGTACTCGAGTTTTATAGTACAGGACTTGTTATAAAAATATTCTGCATTGATTTTAATTTTTTTTAATAAAATTGACAAATATATTTTATGCGTTAAAATAATTTATATTTTAATTCTATGTTGATATAAATAAATTTTAAAATGTATTTATAATTGCAATTTTTAATAAATTTATTGAAAATTCTAGTATATAAAGTAAATAAAGCTGTATAAAATATTTTACTTATATTTTTAATTAATTTATTTATAGGGCTAAATTACATATAAAATTAGTCAAAGAAAGCGACAAAGAGGAAATGAAAACAAGCGAATAAATAAAAAAAATACAAGTAAAAATTAATAACAAATAAGGAAAAATAAATAAAAAATAATTTTAAAAAATTACAAATTGTAGTTATTGCTCCAATAAGCAATCAACTTTGAAATGGACAAATCATAATTTAATTTAAATATTATTTCATAAGTCAGTTAATTTGTTTTTTTTTAATTATATATATATATATATATATATATATATATATATACGTAATAGTAAATAATTAGAACCTGAGTGATTTGAAATAATTTATTTTTATTATATTACAAAATTTATTATTATTATAAATTACAAACGTAATGATTTCCTTATTCATGAAAAATAGAAAACATAATGTTCACAAAATTTCCAACGATTTCTTCCTATCATGTAACTAAATAGTCTGAAATTAAGTCTTCAATTTTATATTTTTTTATAATTTATTCAAGCAGTTATTAATTATATTAATACTAAAATTTTAATCTTCGTTGACGTTTGTAACAAATTATTATTATTTTTTTAATATTATTCAAGCAATTATTAATTAATCATATTGATTTATATTAAAATTTTAACCTTTAGTGAATATTGGTAGCTACACGCGTTGGACTGTGAGTCCGCATCGAAGAACTTCAAAATTTAATCTAAAATTGATTATAAATTGTTATAAAATTTTCTTTTATAATTGTTCAATATTACTCAAGCAATTTTTAATTAATTTTACTAATTAGCATTAAAAATTTTTAGCCTTCTCTGAATATTTATAACAATTCTACGCTCGCCGGACTGTGAGTCCGAATCAAAAAAACTTCAAAATTTAATCTGAAATTGATTATAAATTATAATGAAATTTTCTTTTATAATTGTTTAATATTACTCAAGCAATTATTAATTAATTTTACTAATTAATATTTTTTTAAGCTATTTTTAACAATACTACGCGCGCCGGGCTGCATTGGAAAAACTTCAAATTTTTAACTTATAAAATCTGGGGATAATTAATAATGGGGGATAATTAATAATGTAAATGGGTATTAGGGATCTTCTATATTTAATCTATATTATTATTAAGATTATCTGAATGTGTAAAAGAACATTTTTCGGGATTTTTGAAGACGGTGCATTAGAATGAAGTATGTATTGTGAATTAGGCTAAATTTGTTCTTCGTGCGGGATGTCAATATTTCCCAAAATAATATGAAATATGGAAAAAAATTGTCTAAAATAATATGGAAAACGTAAAAACTGTATTTGAAATTAATTCTTTTACTAAAAATTCAATTATTGACATCATATTATAAAACGCCGGTATGTTATAATTAAAATGGTATAATTAAAAATATATATTTATATCTATAGCATAAATATTAATTACGCGCACAATCAGTCCAGATTTCAATTTTGAAATATGGGAACTATTTTATTATTATTGTTAATAATTACAAGCATTAATAGTTTAATATTTTTAATTATTATTATTGTATAATTTTGAATTCCATGTTTTTCTAAAACAAATGTTTTTATTTAATTATAAAGTTCTTACTAAAATGTTATCCGTACATCAGCAAATTATATAAAACTATTATCATGCATATCGTATTTATATTTATTCTATGAACTAACTGTTTTGTTTATAAACGTTTAATGTGCACTTTTCTGCTGTTACATTCTTATGCAAAAATATTTTTAGAAACAGACTGAAAATATTATATAAACTCTAATGTATTTATAAATAATACATCCATATGTTTAGACTTATTAAATAATATGTATATAATTATCTTTTTCAAGCAAATCAATTGATTTACTCGAATTGGTAATTAAAACCGTCTAGCCGAAATATGTTTTATTTTTGTAAATTATTTTTAATGATCTATTAAACGTTGTTTGCTAGTTTTATAGTAGGTATGTATAATTAACTGTATACAATTTACTGCAAGCTCTGTTGTCAACCCCTGATTTTTAATTAACATGTTCAACGAAGTTCAAATAGTTGTTTAACTGCTCACTAACCCTTGTTCTCAAACTGCGTAGTTTTGAAGTAACATCTGGGTTCCCCTTTTTAAATAGCGAAGTCTATGGTTCTCAAATATTTTAAGTTATGTTATTTAAAATTGCATGTTTATAAAAGCACTGTCAATATAAATGTCGGTAAAAAAATATATTGCATATTATTATGGCATTACAGTCTTTAGTAAGGGATAGACTCAGGTTATATAAATTGGTTAACTTGTTAAATGATTAACATTACTAAAGATATTGAATTGTTTTTATATTTTAATAACTACATTTTTAAAATATTTTATTGAGCAAAAATTGGCAGAATTATTATCAACTAGTGGGGTGTATGGCATCGTGCCTTAAGGCAATTTGCTGGAACTTCCCGTACCGTAACGAAATGTTCGAGGAATACTGAATGTTTTCAAATAGATTATTATATTATATAATATATTATATAATATATTATATAATATATTATATAATATTATCATTATATTATATATATATTATATTATATAATATTGTAAAATTGTCTAATATTTATAAGAATTATATAAACTGATTTGCAAAGTTGAAATTATTTGTTTAAAGTATATTAGAACTATAGTCAGAATTAAAAATAAAATCTAAATTATTTTCGATATACAAAATAATTTAAAAAAAAATTGAAAAAAAAGTTGAAACTAAAATTTTTTTTCCAAAATCAATTATTTTGTTGAGACAAGCAGAAAGTTCTTTGAATCATTTAAATCGAACGCTTAGTTCTCTCAAAAACTGCCATTTTTTACACATTTAGCTCCGTATCTTTGAAATGGCTGGGCCTGCATTTGCCAATAACTAATAAACACTTCTCCCAATCATTACTAATTGAACGTTTTATAGATCATTCAAATCGGATGTTCCGTTCTCTTAAAAACTCGATTTCTATTTTCTGCACTCTTTGCTCTTTATCTCCTTTATCTATCTGCTTTATCTCTTTATCTAACTGCTGGACCTGCCTTTGCCAAAAACTAATCAGCACATCTCCCTATCAATAGGAATCGAATGTTTTTTGAACCATTCAAATCGGTTGATCCGTGCTCTCGAAATCGTTGACAAAAAATTGTGTTCGCACATACATACACACACACACACAATTTTTTCTGAAGTATACGAAAATGTTCAGAAAGGTAAAAATATATAATAATTTCCATTTACTATTTTTTTGCGATTACTATAACTTTTATCCTACGGGAATTTAAAAACAGTCCTTGCCACGATAATTTGAATGTACTATATGTAAAGTTTGCCAAGAACAATAAAAAAATGTTATATCGTTTTGTTTTGATTCATTGACATTATTGGGTGCATGTTCTTTAATATTTAAATTATCAACTAAAGAAAAAATATCAATGATATTTAGAAAATATATTTTATAATATTAATTACTACTAGCTGGAAGTGAAATATTGTTCCTTATCCAATGTATATATTTATATTTTAATGTATTTTGCTGTATCCCTTGATCAAAAAGCAATGCCTGCAGCCGTCCCTACGTTTCGTTTTCCCTTGCTGGGGGAAGCGGCAACTGGTTTGTTATCATAGGTATCGGCTTGAGAAAATATTATTACGGAACTGGAGAGTATTCTAAGAATTGCAACATACGAATCTTTTTACAAGTGAATGATGAGAAAAATACACAATCATCGCGCTTTGAACTACAAGAATTTATTCAATACTCGTGCCCCGCGGCGCATACAATTTTTATAATCTGATTTCAGAATTAAAGATGCGTTCTTAATTAACAACACTGCACATGTAACTTTCTATTCGACGAAAATAATTGTAGTGACAAACGTGTGCACTGAGAATTTAATAGACCAGGCTTGCAATTTTATATTTTTATACTACATTGCTTTAAGATGTTCCATGGCGTAACGGTTAAGCACACTGCCTCATATGGACAGAGTCGTGAGATTGAACCCCCGCTCTGGATATCAGGTTATCATGCAGTATCAATTTTTACTTAAAAATATAGATCAAAAATATGTTCTAATTAAAAATGGTCTATTTTTGGGATCTGCGGTGTGAAATGACAATGGGAAATCTTTCACACTATTCGCTGAATCGAGTTGGAGTTTAACTCAGCTCACGGACCTGCCAGAGGGCAATTATTACATTACATTAATATGTGTCCTTTGAATATATTATTGATATGAAGCCAAATTGTTGCTAATCTAAGTGTAAAAACTTAAAAAGTGATATTTTTTCTTTAATCACTTTTGGGTTGAATCGCTTTTTTTAACTTCTTGTGTGCGAACGATAAATATCTCTTTTATTTATTTTTTTAACAGCAATCAGAATTATCTAGAATTATTAGACGTAATAGCTAATATATTCGCCAACGTGTTAACCGATGGTTATGAGTGAATGTTGCTG